AGGAATGTAGTCTTTAATGAATCTGAGATGCCATGTCTAAAACAGAAAACCGAAGAAACTAACAAATCTGAAACTGAGAAGAGTATTCAGACTGAGGTGAAGCTGACTAGGCTAAATTCACCTACACCTGGGAATGACGAAAATGACCCTATACATCATGAAAATGAAAATGAAATTGAAATTGAACCTGAACCTGAACCTAAAGAGGTGACTGAACTTCAAGATAACATTGAACCAGTTAAAGTTGAATATTTTAATGATCAGCCACATAATCAAGATTATCAGCTTACTAGGGATGGGGGGAGAAGGCAGATCAGGCCAAATCCTAGATATGAATCCCTTAACTTGACTAATTTTGCCTTGGTTTTAGGTGAAGCCTTTGAACAGATAGAACCTGCTAGTTATGAAGAAGCTGTTAACGGAAAATGTTCTAAAAATTGGCTAAAAGTTATGCAGGATGAAATGGAATCTTTAATGGAGAATAAAACTTGGAAGTTAGTTAACAAACCTAAGGATCGTAGGATAGTTCAATGTAAGTGGATTTACAAATTGAAAGAAGGAAATAATCCTGGTGATTCCCCTAGGTATAAGGCCAGATTAGTGGCAAAAGGGTTCACTCAAAAGGAGGGGGTTGATTACAATGAGATATTCTCTCCTGTGATAAAGTACAAAACAATCAGGTTGGTTCTTGCATTGGTTGTTCAGTACAACTGGGAACTGGAACAACTAGATGTCAAGACTGCTTTCCTACATGGGGAATTGGAAGAGGATATTTACATGAGTCAGCCTCAAGGTTTTGAGGTGAAAGGTAAAATAAACTGTGTGTGCAAATTAGAAAGATCTCTGTATGGGCTTAAACAAAGCCCTAGACAGTGGTACATAAGGTTCGATACCTATGTACTGAAGATAGGTTTTAAAATGAGTGAATATGATGCATGCCTATACTATAATGATAGTAAGGAGGGCTGTAAGGTCCACTTGTTGCTGTATGTAGATGACATGCTTCTAGCAAGTTCAAGTAAGACTGAAATCACTAAGATGAAGAACCTTTTAAAATCAAAATTCGATATGAAAGATTTGGGGAGTGCTAAGAAGATTTTGGGGATGGTTATAAAGAGAGATATGGCTGAAAATAGACTAATCATTTCCCAAGAAGCCTATCTAAACAAAGTCATAACTAAATTTGGTATGAATGAATCAAAATCTATGAACGTTCCCTTAGCAGCTCACATGAGTCTTTCTAGTGCACATTCTCCTAAAACTGAGGAGGAATTTAGATAAATGAGGAACATACCCTACTCTAATGCTATAGGTTCCGTTATGTTCTCTATGATAACAACCAGGCCTGACTTAGCCTATGCTATAAGTTTTTTGAGCAGATTTATGTCCAACCCTGGAAAACCCCATTGGGCAGGTTTGAAATGGTTGTTAAGGTACATTGTTGGTACATTAAATCTCGGTCTAGTGTATGAAAAAAGATCTGAAAAACTTACTCTAAAGGGATATGTAGATTCTGATTTTGCTGGTGACAAGGATAGCAGAAAGTCTACCACAGCTTACTTTTTTACACTTGGTGACAATTGTATAACATGGAAGTCACAGCTGCAGCCTTTAGTTACTTTGTCAAGTACTGAGGCAGAGTATGTTGTCATAACCGAGGCGGTTAAAGAATGTACTTGGTTAAAAGGAATTTTGAAGGAATTGAACTTCATGCATGATACACCTGTTATATTTACTGATAGTCAAAGTGCTTTATCGCTTTGTAGGAATCTTGTTTATCATAAAAGAACTAAACATATTGAGGTGAAGTATCATTTTATTCGTGAGAAACTGTCTCAAGGTGAAGTTAATCTTGTTAAAATTCACACTGAAAGGAATCCCTCTGATGTGGGAACAAAAATTCTACCTGCAAGTCAATTTAAATTGTGCTTATCTTTATTACATATTGACACTGGTTAATTTTTCTTGCAGGTAGTGGGCGATGATGATGAACAGTTCTTCCATGTGCAAATTCGCAAGCAAGAGAGAGTGTTATGAGAACCAAGGTGAAGAATGTGAGAATATGGTTCTCTTAACTCTATTAGACTTAAGCGCTATTTGTGTAATTCACATGGATTGTGTTTGTCTAGTTTTATCATGGACCATTGGATGGGATCGATGGCCAGGATTTAATCTATTTGAGATATCTTTCTGTTGCCTTGTCTTGGGGGAGATGTTTTGACTTGATGGTTTGTTGCCTTGTCTTGGGAGAGATGTTTTGACTTGATGGTTGACACAAAAAGGCTCCCCCCACGTTTTTGGTAGAGAGGTCGTTTCTTCCCTTCTTAAGTCGACTCTCTCTCCATTTTTGCTCTCTCGGTTTTGGTTGAAGGTTGAGGGTCCGGTTGGTGGCAGTTTTTCTGGCGAGGTTCTTTGCCGGTTTCTCTCTCTCTCTCTCTTTGGAAGGTGATTTGCATTACATGGAGCTGTTCCTGAGCCTAAATCAGCCATAAGAGCAAGGAGAAGTTGCTGTCCAGATTCGGCCGAGATCGGGTTGTATCTTTCCATTTTATTTTCTTTATTTTGCCTTGAAATCCTTTATTGATTGATGATTATTGTTTGATTGAACTCCAAGGATCCCAACAATCTCCTGTACCAAAAACCTTGAGAATCATTTCTTGTTCAAAATACATCTCTTGAACCATAAGAACCGAACTTTATAGGTTCTACATCTTACCTGGCGAATTTTTGCAGAATCTTCTTACCACTCAATAAGGTTCACATCCTGAGGATTTTTTAGATCACCAAATAATATTGCATGGAAACATAAAGAATTCAACAAAACTAATCATGCCAACAAAAAGAAAATGGAATAATTAGTTCAAATTGATATACAAGACGTGTACATTTGAAAAAGGAAAAATATTTCCTAATTAGCAGAGATTCTTCCAGCTATATCATTTTCCGCACATCCATTTTCATTACACTTTCTAAATGCGGCACCTGGTTAATTGTATTGAAATAAAACTTCCCTTCTGCAATAAGTAAATTGCTAAGCCTAAAAAATTCTCGTATCATTTGGACAAATTGAACTGTAAATCTGATTCCTTACTGGTTTCGAAGTTAAAGGCCTGACCCTAATTGTGCACCTTCCTTCCCAACAGCCCCTCTTGTTACTGTATGGGATACGTTTTGACTATTCTTTTTTTTTATTTTTTTATTTTTTTTGATGCCCAAGTGTCCACCTTACAGCGACTAATCCTGGGGTCTACGATTCAACCCCTCTTCACGCAGACCAGGTAAACCGCGAGTTGTGCCCCAAATTGGCCAAGGTCCAAGAGCCCCCCAACTAAACTGTTAAAGTGCTGAGCGAGTCAAATCCATATATATGCCTTACCTTTCAAGGAACTTCTGCCTTCCAAAAAATATCCTGCCTTTTAGGAAAAAGTCTTGTCTTCCAAGAGCCCCATGAAACGAACCCACAACCTCTGAACTGCCCGTCTTGAAGAACTCCGTTCTTTGCCAGTTGAGATGTGTCCCGAACGTTTTGACTATTCTTGAATTTGTAGGAGCACAATACTATTTAATCCAACTGGTGCTAGCCTATATGACATTAAATTCAATTAAATATGGCACAACTGGACTACATAATGCCACGTGACTAGTCCAAGTCCTGTTGGACTACATAGCTAGCATCACTCTTTTATAGTAACTTTTTGTGTTATTAAGCTCTTAACCTTTATCCATTTTTCTCTTTTTCTTTTTCTCTGGTAAGTATTTATTAAATTGTTTTAATTTAAAAATAAAATCATGCTTTTAAGTTAAACAAATTTTTAGATTCACTTATATAAGCTCAAATTCAAATGAATTTTGGATCATGCCACGAACTTAAAATTGTCAATTGCGTTTATCTTGAAGGCATAATTTTGGACTAACAACCTATCCAATTACAAACTCCTCGGATTGAAGTAGCAAGAGAGACGCGTTGGATAGCCACCTTACTCTCCACCAAGGAATAAAATGACTAGTGACACAACTCTTATCTTCAACAAAGAGATCTAACGTCTAACAAAACCAAAGACTTAGGAGCATAGATATAACTAGAAATTACTCCATGGACAACATGAAGTGCATCACATTTTACCGCTCGAATTTTTGAGAGCACAGTAAGAAGAAGAAGATAGTCCCTCCCGCAAAGCAATTACCTCCACATCCCCAAGGAAACAACAACCAAACACTATTTTTTCGCACAAGCACAATACCACTGAACTCAAGATCCAAATGAGGTGCACCAGTTTCGGAAGCTGTCAAACAACAGGCAATTTTTTGATGTGGAACCGCGGTTAATTCCGGAAATGTCCAAGCAGTCAAATGGCTGCATCAGTCACCATCTCCAAGCCCCTACGCCAACCCCATGTTCCACCACATTATGCTCCCCCACCCCCCAAAATGGTCTACCATGAAGCTTGAGGTGCGAGTTAAAGGATAATTCTATTTTTATTCGGTAATTATAATAACTAAAGCAAGTTCAATCAAACACATTATGAGATTGACTTAATTAAGCCAAGATGAATTAAAGATTGACAATTGCATATAGCTTGAAGGTGTAATTTTGAATTATTGTTTACTGTATTGTTAACTCGATTTAGCCTCAACCTTTTAATCTGTTAAGATATTTTGCACGCCTCTCTCTCCCTCTCTCCCTCCTCTCCACCTTAAAATTACGAATTCAATGGAGAATACAATCAATCAACCTCGGGGGTTAAAGTATCAAGAGAGGAGAGTTGGTTAGTCATAGGAGAGTTGGTTAGTCATCTTATTGTCGACTTTTCATTAATTAGATATCTAATCCCTGATCAACTAAGAATCTATTAGGAGAACTTAAAAGGACAAGTATAAAAATAAACAAATACAGAAGTTCCTAATTACTTAAAAAGTTTTTTTCAATAATGTTAGAGGCAATAATCTCTAGCAAGTTGAACATGAAAGCCAAATTCATCTCTAGATCATTAAAAGTGATGAAACCTTAATATTTGGACGATAAACACTTTTAAGATAAATTAATTAAATGTCTTGACAAGATAATTACGCAAAAAATCACCTCTCACTCTATACATTTCTGCAACCATCCAAGAATATGAAGCAGAACATTTACACTTCAGAAATACATAAAAACTGGGGACTCATACCTAGTTATACCCTATACCCTATAAGAAGGATCTCGTAAACAATACAGCTTTAAAATAAAAAAAATAAAAAATAAAAAAAAACGAAGAAATAGTTGAGCCGAAACCACAATATCTAAAAATATATGTCAACCACTTTAAGCTATGTACCCTCGTTATTTAACCGTAATGATCCATTCTTCGTCAATCTCAAGCTGAGACTGTTATATCGTTCTCGTGAGTACTGTCTTGATACATTTCTCCAATCCGTGCCCGCCTTCATCATTGCAGCAAACTCTTCATAACTAATATGTCCATCCTGCACAGAGATGAACAAAATTCAAGTAACCTAAGAAGATGAATACACATTTGTTTGAGCCCCATTTTTTGGGAAGAATGAATTTTTGAATAGTGTATTGATGAAAAATGTGTGGTTAAAAAATAAGAAAAAAATTTGGATTTACATATAGTATTATTTTATTGAAGAATTTGTGGTTAAAATGATGTCAAAATACTGTTGAAAAATATATTTTTCAAAAAGAATGGGGCTCAAACAAGGGCTGAGTATGAAATATCAGATAGAAAGCCTTTTCTTGCATGGTTTTTAGCCAATGGTGTTAAGCTAGCCGCCTGTCACGGATCGCAAGATCATGACTTGAAACTTGCAGGTTCTAGTTGTTCGGGTGTAACGAAACTAGGTCCGTGACACGCCGCACCCAAAAGCTCAAGCTTTTAGAAAGAAAAATCATCTGCTTTTCAAATTTAGTTTTTAAACATGCCACCTCGTGCACAAATGAGATTCATTATTCATCAAAACTCGACATCTATATAATTTTCATAAATAGCTAAGGGCAAGGGTTAAATTCAATGCCTCTACCCTACTCTAGTATCATGTTAGACTATCTCATTTAAAAGCAGGTATTCATAAATAAGTAGCAGCAAGAGTTCAACTTAGAGACTCTTACCTCTGAGATAAACAAGACTTTGACAGCGGTGGTAGATTAACTGACCTTGTCAGTGTCTACTTCTTGAATAATGGCACTAATAATTTCTTCATTGGTAGTCTCGACCTCATCAGCTAAGGCATCCCTCAGCTCTTCAATCTCTATATACCCACTTCGGTTTTTATCAAAGAACTCGAAGGCTTTCTGCAGATGGTCATCATTCCCCAGCTTCCGCAGGTGAACAGAAATTGCAACAAACTCTCCACAGTCGAGATATCCATCTTTATTTACATCACCCTGTAAGCATTTGAATGCATTCATGTTATCAAAGAAACGGAAAGAAGTTGAAATTTTGTTTGTGCATGGCATACAAGGAAATTGGTACTGAATGCACAAAAATACACTATTTGATCTTGCAATCGCGCAAAAAAGAAAAACAGGGTTTGTGTCAGTGATGTTGCTATCATATAAGGCGCAACTGCTTCCAATTTAATCATGAAATGATACAGGAATGAGATATAAATGCTAATAATGTAAGAGAATGCCAATTACAATTCTGCAGGCAGTCACCTAAAAGGGATGTCGCAACAAACTTGTCAAATAAGTCAATGCTTATGTGCCTCTCAAGCAAGGAGATTGTTTGGCAAGTTCAAAAATAAAAGGAAAAGTGTATCTAACATATTTGGACTTTACATTTTTATTACTTGTTTATGCAAAATAAGTTGTTCTCTTAAAGTTACTCCTAACTTGCTATTAAAATAAGTAACTTATTTCAACTTGGATCAAAAAAAATATTTTTTGTTTACAAACTTATTTTCTTATGAGTTTACTTATAAATAAACTTTTTATGCATAACCAAGCATGATTAAGCCTAACAAGTTTCTAACTAAAGTGCTTACTACTTCCATAAGAACTTGAATATCGGCATCTGGGATCCTATGCCCTAGCTTGTGCAACCCAGCTCTCAACTCATTAAGGTCAATCTTCCCCTTGTTGCCGGTATCCATCAATTGGAATCCTTCCTTTATGCCAGCCACTTCCTCCGCTGATAAATGCTCGGCAATCACCTGTCATTTGAAAAAGCAATTTTAGTAATCAAATACCTTGCTATGAGACGCTTTTAGCTATCAACAAATGAGCTTTGGAACTACATTATACATAAACAAAAGGAAGCAAGAAATTGAGCTTGTATAAATGTGCAAAGCAAGAGAAATTACCCTTAGAGCTCTTTTCTTCAACTTGTTCATCATGGAGAATTGCTTGAGCCTTGCCCTCACAGTTTCACCCAAAGACACATTTGGAGCCGCCTTGGCATTCTGTAACCAAGGATGATCTGCAAGCCAACAGCAATATATGTCACAATTTCTATATTTGGTTTTGAATGTACCCATGATCACTAAAATTTATTTCATCTCTCGTTGGTTACTGAATTTGAAATTCGTTATTATGGATCATGCTACATTTACAAACGTTTTTTACAAAATTTCTTACTCACTACTCACAATAGGAGGTAGGGACCACAAGCCGACATTTTTTAAATTCAAGCGGGACCCACTTTTTGTGAGAGTGTGTAACATATTTTGTACAAATGTGTTTGTACACATCTCTTTATCCCGTTACTATTGGGGCATCAAAATCCAAAGTTTGTTATGGTTTAATTATTCAGTCCATACCCATTAGTTTGACTAATTAAAAAATCTAATGTGACAGTCTAGTTGGTAAATAACTGGACTCCTACTTCACCTTTCACTAGTGATGTTCAACAATTTCATCTAAAAGCTAGAGCTGCTAAAGATGGGAACACGTCCATTAATTTAAAAAAATTTCTTCAAAACACACCCTTATTGCACGTCAGATTTTTTAAGAAAGGCCCGTCTATCGCATGCACAATTTTCATACGGGGTGGCAAGATTTGAACTCAAGATTATTGCATGCTCTAATACCAACTGTAAGAAATTTGTATGAAAGCATAAGCTGTTCGAGAGGCGATGTATTCAACAATTTATATTTTGTAGTCAACAAGTCAAACTAGCTGATACATGGAGTGGTAAAAAAGTTATAATTTAGTCGTCAACTAAAACAGAGAGAGTGTCAAGAATTAACATAAAATTTTGTTAAAAAATTAGTTTATTTAACCCTTTGATTTAATGAATTTAAAACAAGTGATGAAGCATTTCATAGACAATAAAAAGGATAAATCCACAATATCATTCCTCAAAAGAATGTACATTACCTAATACTTCTTGTGCTGTAAGCCGCTGCTTGGGGTCGGGGTTGAGCATCTTCTTTACAAGGTCCTTTGCATTAGCAGAAACCTTAGGCCAAGGATCTCTTTTAAATTCTACAACTGATCGAATTATTGCTTGGGCAACTCCTTGTTCGGTTTCTGCAAATCAGAAGGAAAATTAAATGTCAAAAATAAGAAACAATTTACTGCTCTATGCACTTCCAAATACCAAGTTAGGAACAACATTTTATCTTTGAACAAAATTTTATCTTGAATAATTTTGTGTCCCTTGTTTAGGTATTGTTCATCTAATGATCTTAGTACCAAATACTTCTAGGCGTGCCCTAATATTATCAATGCGACCTGAATTCAAAATTGTTGGCAGTGGAAGAACAAAATCTCCCTTTTTGTTCAGTAAGATACAAAAGTTGGAGATGCACGCATTCCACTCTATAATCAACAGACCACTGTCATCGAAATAGAAGGATACAAAGATTTAAGCTTAACATTTCCATTTTCACTTTTCGTTTTGTTCTTAACATGGGTTGCAAACAATTCCACCCCCAAACCTATCAGCAATCTCAAGTTTAGAGTCAACCAATCCCCTGGACTCTCCTCCAGTGCAATATTCAAAGAGTAAAACCAAAAAAAAAATAGTAAATTTGTCTACTACTGCAACAAGTGTGCCCTTTTTATCCTTTTGGATCTTAAAACTTTATGTTTCTCCTTCAGTTAGTGTGTTCACCTCAAAGAAAATAAGTTCTAAAATGATATTTAATGCAAGGAAAAAATAACAGACCCGCCCAAAAAGGTGGAAAACCACACAATAAGATGTAGAGAATTACACCAGCACTCCAAACATCCACTTCTGGACCGTAGTATCTTTTGAGCACCTCCGGGGCCATGTAATAAGGACTTCCCACAATCTCATCAAACTTCTGGCCTATAAAAGTACCATTGGATTAGCTAAAAGGATCAACAATTGATATTGGCCAATTAACAATTCATCCGTCTGTATTAGACCACTAATTATCAAAAGGCATTACCAGGCTTAAAGATTACTGATAGCCCAAAATCGATGGCCTTCAATGGTGCTGTTTCCTTTTTATTTGCAAACAAGAAATTTTCGGGTTTAAGATCGCGATGCATGACTCCGTTCTTGTGGCACATCTACAGAGTGAAAGGAGATAATTAATTCACACATTGAACCACATTTAAAACATGATTTCTTTAAAAAGAACCTCATCAGAAAATTTGTGGATGGTCAGACTGCCTATAATCACTCGATCATAAATGAAAATACAATTATTTAAATTAATGTTCCTAGATACGACAGAGTAAAGAAACCAAAAGACAGCATTTCATATTCGCCTCAAAAAATGCAAATATTAGAATAGAAAAAAAAATGCAGTAATTAGCATGAGAATTATATTCCAGTAGACAATCGTAACTTTCATAAAGGACCAACAGATGAAAAGATGGTTGGTCAGGGCTGATGAAAATCATTAACAAAATTTAGAAGTAAATCAGAATTGCTAAGCTTGACATAATACAATTTTTATGAGGACTCTGTCATCGCATTAAAGGATCATGATGTCTAAGCTTCAAAAGTTTTCTCACAAGTTTAGTTATAAGTAAAAAGTAAGTTTTCAAATAAGTAATTTTTCTAGATGCATAATAATTTACTTATTTTCACTGTGAAAATGTACATTTAAGCTTAGCCACACTATCAATGCTCTCGAATAAATTCTACTACTATTGCAGCAACTAATGGCAAAAATCACATCAATTAATAGCCAACAAATTCAAAACTATTAATCAGAAACTTCAAACTTCATACAACAGAAGCAACATTAAAACTCTAGATATTGAATCCTCACCTGAATAACTTCAACAATCGTGCGAGTAACAGCAGCAGCAGCCCTCTCTGTATAATGTCCCCGGGATACAATCCGATCAAACAATTCACCACCCTCACACAATTCCATCACTATATGAACTGCATTATCATCCTCATAAGTATCCTTTATGCTAACAATATTAGGATGCTTGGGCAAATGCTTCATAATCTCAACCTCTCTCCTAACATCATCAATATCCACACTAGTCCTCAGTTTATTCTTTGATATCGATTTACAAGCGAACTCTTCGCCACTAGATTTATCAATGCATAAATATGTAACCCCGAATTCACCTCGACCGAGCTCACGCCCCAACTCGTAAAACTCCTCAATGTTATGGCCTGTTAGATTGTCCAATATATAGAATTTGAATCCACCATCTGGTATACTGAGATTACCGCCATGAACTGAAAATGGGTTAGGCTTCTCATCAGACGTTTTTGGTGTTGCACAACAATTTCCCATGGATTTTGCCTTCAAAAATTCACCGCTTAGGGTCTCTAAATTTGAGCAGAAAACAGACCAAAATCAACCAAAAACTCAGGCTTTTTCCCTTTTTGAATCTTCGAGCCACTTGGGAGTCTTTTTAAAGTATAAACAGCAGTCAAAGACAATAAATATCAAATCTTTCTTATGAAACAATACAAAAACCAAGAAAAAAAAATTGGGTTATGTTCAATAATTAAAAAGCTTCAGAACCCACCTTCGTAATCTCAGATCTCACAAATTCAACTGAAATCCAGGTTTTCAAATGAAAGGGATTAGTGATGGACAGATGGAGGTACCAAGAAAACTATCAATTTTTTCAAGGGAACGAGATGAAGAGGTTATAGTATGAAAATTGAAAAAAATAATAATAAAATGTGAGAACTTAGAGGAAAATCTCCAATACCCACAAATGTTGGAAAATGAGAGAGATTTATTGATTTAAGAACACAAAGTGTAGGGAAATTTCATGTAACTTTCCTACCCGACCCCCTTAGTATCTCCATAGTTTCCTACTAGTTTCTCCTTCTAACAAATATTTGTGTTATCATTGTCTACTTTGGCGAGCTTCTAGAAACCGGCCAATTAGAGTCCGCCCCAGTTCTACTTCTTATTACGAAAAGACCATCGATTTCTTCTTTTGAATAGTCAACTCTTTGACTTGGCCGAGGTCTATTTTGTCAATTATCAATAACAGATAGCCACGTGCAGGTTTGACTCGACCTGGTTGGGCTGCGCCAACTTTGACAACTAATTAATATTTCTAAATTAAGGGCTAAAGGATAAATTTATTTAAAATCTTTTAAAGAAGAATTTATGACAATTTAATGATTAATCATTTCTATAATTTAAAACGTGATTCATTTTGTATTTTTCTGTGAGATAACCTACCAAACTATATATTTATTTTGTCCATAAATAGACCAATTCAGTCTTCAAGATTGTATTCAAATCAAAATCAGTTCACCGGTTCAGAACTTTTTTTTTAAACAAAAAAAAAAAAAAAAAAAAAATCTGTTATTTAGTTAATTTTTTGACTTCGACTTCTGACCCTTAACAACAAAATATTATAAAGGCCCAAGCGCCTCTCCAATAGAGAGTGTTATGGACATTCTTATGGTACCTCTAATGTACCCATAGCACAATTTTATTATAAAAGACATATTTGTCAAAATGAGTTGGATATTGTTCAGCTATATTAATATAGGCATGTTAACGAGTCGAATTGAGCCAGCTCGCAAACAAAAACTAGAGGCTCAAACTCAGCTTGAGTAAAATGGTGCGAAATTTTTTTGGTCCCGAGCTAAGCTGAGCAAAAAAATATAGGCTTGACCCGAGCTTTCAACTCAAGCCTTACCGAGCCGGGCTGAACCGAACCGAACCGAACCTCTTTTTTTTTTTCTTTTTTTTTTTGACTTCTAGATAGCTGCCGATTAAGACAACTATGAAGCTGCAAATCTGCTGCCTATTAAGGCAATTTTAAACATACTTGTAAATTTTTTTTTGTCATTTAATTTTTTTTTATTATTTACCAAGTCGGCTTAGGCTGAAATGGTTGTAACGAGGGCCGACCCCTGGCTCGAGTCGATGCCCCGAAATGGGGCTTAGCTCAAGCCTCGACTCGATGACTCTAAGCAACGAGCTAGGTCGGCTCGGGCTTTTCCCAAGCTCACACCGACGAGCCAAATTTACATTTCTATATTAATATAAGTTTTGTTTGAGCCCTTTTTTGGGGAACATAGGTTTTGAAATGGTAATTTTTTCTAAAATGTGTGGTTAAAAAAATTGAATTTACACGTGAAAATTTTCTATAAGAGAATGTGTAGCTAAAAATGAGTTATAAGAAAAATGGAGTTCAAATGTTGGGGAATTAAAGGCCGGTAAAATATTGAGGTCAAAATTGATAATTAATTTTAACCATACATTCTATAGAACCCATAATTTTCATCATTTTAAATTAAAATCTACTTAATCTTTTATCAAAAACAGTCAAAAGGCAGATAAAAGATTTCATAACTCGGCTAAACCCACGAGCTCAACCTGTGTGGGATTCGTGCCGGGGCAATTCACGTTGGCAAATGAAATATATAGATATCATTTGGCCCCTGTTTGATAAGAATTAAAGTCGAACTTTTAACAAATTTCGATAAAGTTGATGAAATATATAACTAAAAGTTAATTATTGACTTTGATTTAATTTATAATCTAAATTTTAATCCGACCAAACAAACAAGGGCTTAGGGAAAAAAAAAAAATAGGTACACTTTTACATTGTACACAGGTACATGACCTTTTAGGTTGTAATAAACGGGAACGTGATTTTCTAGGAACATTTATATTTACCTACATTATAATAAATTGCAAAGGAAAAAGTACGCATTTGTTACTACAATATCCTGCAAATCAGGATTAACAAAACTCATTATTGTATAAAGTATGAAAACCTTCGACTTTATCCTGAAAAATCAAAAATTGTAGGTCTTCAGAACGGAGGATGCCAAAACATTCTAGTATTGATGGAGCAAGATGTGCCGTGTTTGTAGTTGCATTACCAAATGCCAGAGAATTCTCTCGGTTAGTCTGGAAGTAACTTTCACCGCACCTTCTTTGCCATCTTCGGGTTTTTGGACATTCGAATACTTTTGGGAGTAATTTCAACCAGCTCATCTTCTTGAATGTACTCTATGCAGTCATCCAGACTGTAATCCAGTGGGGTATCGAGAACCACTACACGTGCCAACAGAGAAATTGATCAATAATCAAGGGCGTAACTAAGAAAAAATTCTTACTTAAACAGAGCCCATAAGCACAAGTATTCGGCCGCTATGAGAATCTAAGCATCTCTGTAACATCAATGTTGATAGGACGTAAAACAAGCATAGCGAATTATTTCTTCTCCAGCATCAAAGAACCGTGAGCATTCATAAGAAATATCATTTCCCCTGCCCTTTTACCGGGTTCATTCATCATTCTTCGTACTCTATGGTGAATAATTAAGCAAAAAACAACCAATTTAACAGGTAAAAAATCTTCAGTTTCTCACCTGTTTGTTCTTTATTGGAACGGATATTTGTTGCAGCTTTTTTCTTGCAGACATTGAGGGACAAGTCACCGGGGCGCTGATGAATTCCTACTATTTGTCCTTTATAGACATCGACTCCAGGGCCAATGACCAACTGTCCTCTTTCTTGTGAACTTGAGAGCGCATAAGATGTAGTCGTTCCATCCTCAAAAGCAACCTTTAAAAATTTATACAGATTAAGACATTCTGAAAATGTTATCAGAATCTCAATGAAACTTGTTTGTTTGGGGTTAGAAAGTACCAGAGAACCCAGGTCACGGGTACTTATATCACCAGCCCATGGTCCATATTCGTCAAATATAGTGTTAAGAACTGCTGTGCCTCGAGATGCTGTAAGAATGGAATTTCTCAGACCAAGGAGGCCCCGGGTTGGAATCTTATATTTCACCAGAGTTGTTCCTTCTGACCTAATAGATAAATAGGAGTAAGTTTTTATGCTACAATTCAAGATGGCAAACACACAAAAAAATAAAAATAATAAAAAAAAAATGAAAAAGAATATTTATCACCTCAAATTCTGGTAATGCGAGTAAAAGGATGAGCAGAAAAACAAGACATTCAAGTACACACATACGTATACACACACACACACGTCAAGTCATTTTCTGTTAGTATCAAAATTAAGGAGGAGCATCCAAAGGCACTAACATGAAATTTGCAATGATAAGATTTTTCTAACAAAGAAAATTGGAATTCTATAATTACTGAAACCTGCAAAAATTAATAACCAACTTCAACAGAGGGAAGTTTCAGGAATAAACTAGTAAAAATCACAGGGGAGGCCAGCATAACTACATAAATATAGACCAAAAAATAAAGCAATATAGGTACAATCTAACGAAGATTGTTCTTTTTGTTAGCTGTCATTCCAGTATAAGCAAGATTTTTCTGTTGGACGTTATTGTCAACAAGATAATTGCAAATAATTTTCATACCCAAGACCTTGCATGTCAAACATCTGTCCTCGCCTTCTCCCAAGAAGTTCTACAACAGGCCCCGTGTATTCTTCGGGTACCTCAACAGTAGCAATCTGCAGGAACAACCATAATAAGTTTTACCTTTTAGAAGAAAAAACATGGCCATGAAAATAGTAAATCGTTCAGTGCATTTAATATCATCTCCTTTTGACCAATGCAGACACTATTGTTACTTTTAGGGTAGTGCAACAGAATTTTCTTTTATAGCTTGTATCGATGATAGTGTATCACACACTTTAACTGCTTATATCTGTTTATTCAAAAAATTACAAATGCACATGCCAGTTATCAAGATGCAATTTCATACACAGAATTGCGCAATTTCTGCAGCAAATGTGATCACGTGTGCAGATGGTTGGTTAAAGAGAGGCAATTAGTGATGAAGAAAACCCGCGATAGATTGTCAAAATGCACTAGCCTGGTCTATTGCCAATTTCACTGTCACAACCCAGTTATCAAGATGCAATTTCATACACAGAATTGAGCAATTTCTGCAGCAAATGTGATCACGTGTGCAGATGGTTGGTTAAAGAGAGGCAATTAGTGATGAAGAAAACCCGCGATAGATTGTCAAAATGCACTAGCCTGGTCTATTGCCAATTTCACTGTCACAACATCTTTCAAAACATCGACTAAAGTAAAAATGAAATCTTAAACTAGTTGAAATTATAAAATACTTTCAATTCTATACATCTTTCCTCTCTCTATTTCCTATCTTCCTTTTTCTCCCTCTATGCCATATTGTATTACACAGTTGCTAGTGTGCACAGTAACATGTTCGTATCTAAACATAACTCTTAGTATTGAATGGTTCTATTAGCAAGCGGCAAATTTCTGTAAGACATGTAAAAGATAAGATAGAATGTACATTAACAAACATCTGAAGGAAATAAAAACAAAAAACTTAGCCTAACCTCATATGGTTCCAGCAACTTGTCGCCGACCTTTTTATTGATAACTTTGGGTGGTCCCACCATGAACTCATATCCTTCCCTCCGCCTGGAAACATTTATTAACATAAGCATGTGTAAAGACAGTAAACAAGGGTCAGAATCTAGGCCTCTTACATGTTCTCTATTAATATTGTGATATGTAGAGTGCCACGCCCGCTAACAATGAACGTATCTGAAGTTTCACCATCTTCGACTTTCATAGCCAAATTCCGCTCAAGCTCACGGTACAGCCTATCTCGTAGATTTCTACCAGTAACATACTTCCCCTGAAAAACATAAAAGAAATTTTTCCCCTCTTAAAGGTGGATTAAAATCCAAAAAATGATTTGTTGGCAGCAAACAGATGAATCTTGACGTGTAATGATTTCTATGACTAATCCTACTGTAGGGCCCAGAAAAAAATTTGATAAAAGAGGAAAAATAATTTCAATAAAAGTACTTTGGTGATATGCATGCATACATCAGAAAGTTTTAGGCAATTGGTCCCGATACATGTGCAACCAATTTTTTCCTCCATGATCACAGTCCTATACCAATAAAAGACAACAATTTGGCGTCTATAGTTTATCATTCATCCTTTGTATTATATGGTAAATATGTACTTTTTCATCTAAAAAAAAAAAAAAAAATCAATTTGCAGTCAAGAACATAAGCAACATGTTTCAAGCATTGGATCGACATCCTTCTCTTTTAATAAAGAAAAGTTTTTTCTTGAAAAATTAAGAAAAATGGGCCCAAACTTTTTAGAGCATCTCCAACCCAAATTCAAAATAGCGTAAACTGCTAATTTGGTGTGAAAATGATGCTCCAACCGGACTTCAAATTTTCACACCCAAATAGAGTAATAAACAGTGTAGCATCAGATTGTTCATTTGGTGTAATATATACAGTTTTAGTTATTTCCCATTTTGTCATTCATTTTACACAACAAATTTAATTCCTATTGTATCCTTTTATTACTTAATGATTAATTTTATTTATATTTGTTATAACTGGATTATTTTTTGTTAACATTTATAATAAATTGTAATCAAGTAATAAATAATAAGGCCTTGTTTGAGCAGCATTCTTTTAAAAAAATACATTCTTAAATAGTGATTTGACATCATTTCAATCACACATTCTTCATAAAATAATATCACACACAAATTCAAAACATTTTCTCATTTTTCAACCACACATTCTCTATCAATTTAATATTCCAAAATACATTCTTTCAAAATAATGTGGCTCACACACACACACTAATTACTTAATACATTAAAATAAAATTATTAAAATTCAAAAGTTGCTACAATTAATAAAACGAAATTAGCACTACAGCAACATAAATATTGAAAAGAGGCACACATTGCATTCGAAATGCATTAATTAATAATTTGTGGAATGAATATAATACCACGAATTAAATGACAAAACTAGTTGGACTTTATGTTTGTTTTATGAAATTTATATGTATTTTTTATATGTTATAATGTTAAATGTAATATTTTTTTTAATTGTGTTGTTAAGATGGGGGTAGGGAAGGGGTATAACTCAGCGGTAGAGTGTCACATTAACATGGTGAAAGTCATTTCTTGGTGTCAAAATAGGATATGTGATAGAAAAATGGAAGATCTATTCTCTTTGTGTAATGCATTTAAAATAATAATAATAATAATAATTGTAAATAAAATATTTGATTAATTAAATGTAATTTTTAATTAGTAATTTTAGTAGTAATAGAATATGTAATTAATTAATTTTTGAAATAAATTAGTTCTTAAGAATTAAAAAATAAGGAAAGAAAGGGGATTTTTTTTGTAATATTTAGTGTAATGGATTGGAGATGACAAAATAAGATGGTGTGAAAGTTGCACCCTTTTGGTGAAATGGGTTGGAGATAATACGTGGAAAAGATGAAAATGGTAGTTAGGATTCTAAGGATATTCGAGGCAATTATATACAAAGCCAAACTGTGGTGGGCTCTTAGAATTTGTTTGCACACATGCTTCAGAGTAAAACAAATGACCAAAATTCAAAATAATGTTTAAATATCAAGTTGGTATATTTTAAGGATGAACCCAGAAACCTAAGCAAAAACTCTCTAGTTCCCATTTTTGAGAGCAGTAGCAGCCTGTGAACCACACACTAGCAGTTTTAAATGAAAATTCGCTCTTTAAGAACATAATTATAAGTTAATATCCAGTCTCTGCTAGAATTTAGATTTGCAATATTCTTGTACACTCAAAAATTAGAATTTGAATTGAGATTAAATGCCTTATGAAAAAGCATACCTCACGGCCAACAAAAGGTGAAGTGTTGATCGAGAAAGACATTCTAACAGTAGGTTCTTCCACCTTAATTGAGGGTAATGGTTTCCCAGAAGTTTTGTCTGCAATGGTTTCCCCAATCTGTATCGATGAAAGAAAATTGATAAATTAAATAAGATGGGCATGTAAGTGCAAGCTGAACCCTAAATTACAAGTAAATACCAACAGTGGGAACAGCACCCATGTAAGAATAATTTTAATCTACCTGAATATCATCAATACCGCAAACAGCACATATATCACCTGCTTCCACTGTCTCTGCTGGAACTCTAAAGAATTTCTCGTACACAAAAAGTTCGCTTACTCTAGCAAATCTGCATTCATCTTCAGATGTACATATCTAAACAAAGAGAACAAACATACAGAACATCAAACTCTATTTATCATATCTTTGTTGAGAAATTGATGACTTCTGAACAAGTGTCTCCGACAAGGAGTTCTATCGAGATACCCCCATCCTTCGAGGAACAGATATGTATTTACTAAATTAAAAAGCTTCTCACTGGTACAGTAAACCTACCTTCACATCCATTCCTTTGCGCAATGCCCCAGCATGTAAACGTCCAATAGCAATGCGCCCTTTATGTTCATCATACTCGATATTTGTAGCCTAAAATAAGTTTAAACATGATAAAATAGCACACGACACATCCATAAAAGATCAAACCAACTGTTAGAAGAACGAATCAGAGAAAAAAGGAGTAGAACATTGAGAAAATGAACCGCCACTAACAAGCATTTGAAGTGCACCATCTTTCTCAATACGGGGCCCAGGTATGCATCTAATAATAGACTCAAAAAGAGGTCCAAGATCATCTGCCAAATTTTCAGGTGAAAGTCCGGCCTTTCCCTTGATACCACTTGCATATATTACTTGGAAATCACACTGCAAAAAGATCAAAACAAACTGGAGATTAAAATCTACATCACAATCTCTCGCGTATTGAAGTACAGAAATATTTAATCAACTAATGTTCAACAACTATAATGAAATATTTCAGAGTGGTGATAATTTTTCAATTCACTCTTCCCATTAAGAGGATACGATTTAAAAAGAGAGTTTATTGTACTCAAATTAGAGCCCATTACTTGAGTTCATGGCTGAAATGCAAGTTTAGGAAATGAATATTTAGCCCTTGTTTGAGCCCCATTCGTTGAAAAAAAAAATACATTCTTAAACGGTATTTTGATATCATTTCAACCATACATTCTTTAATAAAATAATATTACATGCAAATCAAAAAAATTTCCT